GCTCTCATAGAATCAGGTTGTTTAAAAAGCAGCATTTAAAAAGCAGATTACACCAGATGTGTAAGCTTCACATCCGGTGATAGCTTGTGTTCATAAACCTATGTCCAATATTGGATCAGTTTCCATTCTTGTCAGCAGCTTTTGGAACGTAAAAGGATCTTTCCTAATTGCAGAGTGTGTTGGAAGCTCACAAAAGTGTGAGAAGGAAGACATATTTTCTGTGCTACATTCTCAGACATAGGCTTGCTGTGTTGATTTAGAATGGCCTGATTTTTTTGGTTGCAAAGGGGAGGGCCACAGGGATAAGCTACCCCTTCTGTGAGATGCTGCTGGTCCAGTTAGAGAAGCTGGCAATGCTTCTGTGATGACAAATTGAAGAAGAAAATCAAAACAGTTCAGGCACAATTTTTCCCCAGGAGTGGGGAACTGCTACAGCCGCGACTGTGGCTGCTGCCATGCTGGTGCAGCCTGCAGCGAGCTCTGCCTTCCTGGCTGCCTCTAGCTAAGCATGCCGCAGGCAAAAGGCAGAGGTGGCGGTGGCTTCCCCTTCCCCACTTGAGTGGTGCCCCATTGAAACATAAACTTTAAGGCATTTAGAGATTTTTGAAGAGCTAAGATTTTAGTTAGAAATAAGCCCTACTAGAGTTAATTAAAATAATAATAAAAAATGAGTAGGCCTTGATGAAGTTAGGAGTTAGTAGTTAACTAATAATTGATTGCTTGTCAGCACAATGTTTAGTTAGCTGGGTTTATAATGAAGAATATAGAAACTGACAAATAGCTTTCAGGAACATAAAACAATTGTGGGCCTCCTCTGTTCTGAAACCAATTGAAGACAAGGAATGGGAGTTCTACCAAGAGTTAATTTGTCATACTTGCATTGAAAAGGTAGAAAGGTCAGAACGAGGAAGATTTCATTTACTTCCTCATTTTGGGACCCCTCCCCATGAAAGGGACCACCGACCTATTTCAAGAGACTCCATTTTTTTTTTTTTTTATAAATCACCATATGAGGACAGTGTTAAACCGTGCCAACACCAGGGTGGCAGCCACTACCCCAGCCATGGGTTTGGGGCCACCTGGCCAGCATCAAAATCATGATGAGTGACTCCCCGACACAGAACCTAGACAAGATCAACTTCTCAATGCTACAGGATCTTGAAATAATATTTGGATTAGTAGAACTTGTTGACAGTGGCACCTACTGTCAGCTACTGGTAATAATTTTCTTCTAGTCAGAGGAGGAAGTGAGGACGTGTGAGAGAAAACAACATGGAAGAACCAAGGTTTGTGGAAAAGAAAGTGGGAGGACATGGTCCAAGCATTGGACCTGAGATTCCTCTGCTAGCTGGGGTGAGGACTATGGTGACAAAAACTGTCCACTTGTAATGCATGAAGTCTGTGGGGGAACATAAAGATCCACTTGTAGCCTATGGGAAAAGTGCTCATCCCCGAGCGGGGAGATGCCAATGACAGCTGTGATCTGTGGAAGACCTGAATGGAGAGAAAGGGCCTCTGCTTCCAGAGATAAAGAGATAGCCTTTGCTTCCAAACTAGAGCAGCCTATCCTTAAAAGATTACAAGCTGTGGACAAGCAACCCATGCCACAACAACTTTGGGAGGACTGTTTGTCCATGGGAGGGACCCCATGGCATAGCAGAGGAAAGACTCTTCTCCCTGAGTGAACAGGGTCTCGAGTGATGAACTGACTAAAACCCCCACTCCCTGTTCTCCTGCACTGACAGTGGGAAGGAGGGAGGGCTGGTGCGAGAAAAGGTGTTTTAAGGGCTTATTTTACTTCTCATTATCCTCCTCTGGCTCTATTAGTAAAAAATTTATTTTATACCTTTAAATTTGAACCTGTTTTGCCCTTAGAGTGGTTTTTCCCCCTCCCAATCCTTGTCTCAACTCATGTGCCCTTTTTAAAATTTTTTCCCTTTCCTCTGCAAGAGGGTAAACTGTAGCAGGAGAGGGTAAACAAACCACTTTCATATGTGTCTGGCATTTGGCTAATATCAAATCACGACACTTGCAAAAACAGAAGATATACAAGTTATATACCCTACATAACTTGCCCTTTAACTTCCCCACATTTGTTTACACTTTTCTTAACAGTTTCTAGAAGAGTGTATTCAATGTAATTAAATAATTTTCTCACAGTTATGGCTCTTTTTGAAAGACCTGGTCTTTCAAAACATCAGAGTACATACTAAATATTCCATGGAAGTTAGACTAAGAGTCCTTTCCAAAAATGGGGAAGCCACAACAAGAGACATAGATCAGCTCAAACATATGCCAGTGGGATTCACAAACCAGTTTTATTTTTGATGCTTGTCTCATGGTTTAACATATGACACCCAGTGCTTATAAAATATATATGTGTGTGTCTGGATATTTTTCTGGGACTTTGTTTTGTATTTCTCAATGTCTGTATTTCTGCTTGTTTCACAGCTGAACCTCTCAATTCAGGTGCTCATTTTTTAAACTTCGGGATTCTTTTTTCCTCTGTTTGCAGCTTAAGTGATCTTCCTTTGGCAATAAGGTGAATCCTCAAGGAAAGAGTCTGTGGAAATGCTGTAAGGGGCAAGGTCTAGGCTGGCATCATACTTACATGAAAAGGTTTGTGCTGTCAGAACTGGTGTGAGCTGACACAAACAGGAGTTATAAGATTCCTCCTCCTGGAGAGCAGGAGGACACTGGCAACAGGAACCCCCCTTCCTCTGTCTTTGCCACATACAAGACTTGGGTTATTGTTCATCCCTGCTCACTAGAGCTGAGACCCATGGCCATGTTGGCATTCCCATGCTGCTTCATAAAAGACTTAGAGAGGCACAATATTATGATTCTGCCCTTCTCAAATATTTTGTCAATAGAAAAACATGGTATATGACACAAAAGACAAATGAAGATGATTCTTTATGATATCAGATAATTAGGAATTTGTTTTTGAGTACTGACTTAAAATTTACTGGCTACTCAAAAATTCCAGTTACCTATGCTACCTGTTCCTTGCAGACAGGTTGCTGATAAAATAGTGCTGAACTTTTGTTTCAATGGTGATGAGAAATTCTGTCTTTTGGCAAAGGATGCAAACAACAGCTAATTCAAAGAAAATCACACTAAGATGCAGCACATGCAATACTGTGAGCAGTGTGAACTGTGAATCAAGTCCTAGCTTGTGGAACTGAGAAACAAATTTTTCCACACCAATTTTTGCCTCCCTCCAGGGCTGAGACTGCTAAGATGCCTTTGGATATCTGCAAAGGCAAGGGTCTAATTCTCATCTCCATGCTAGAGGACCTGGCCTGACTACTTGCTACTGCTTCTTACTTCAAATTTGCAAGAAATTATTTTGATCTCTTTCAATTTTCAATTCTTTTAGGAAAAAAATATTATGGAAAGAGCTTTTATTAGCCATTTATATCAGTCATAAATTACCATGTTTTGGCACTTTTATTTGGAAAATATCTCAAGAAATATTTTATGGTGGAAACAAGAAAAAAAATTTTTTTAATAGGGGAATGCAGTGGGATTGCATTAGTACTTTCATTTATTACAATTCTTTAAACCACTGAGCATATGTCTTGGAAAAATTATATTAAAAAAAAGAAATAAGGCACCCAAAAGTTCTACTCCACTCAAAACTGATTTGAATATTTAAGTGAGAGAAAGTGAAACTGTATATAGACAGGTTTTTATGTGTGAATTTAAATAAAATATAGAGAACATAACAGAATAAATTTTATAACCTTAGAGACATTGATAAATAAGGAAAAACAAATTCCTTCTGATGAGGATTAAAATGTTCTTGAAGTCATGCTATATTCAGTGAATTCTGAAGGCTGTATCACCTTAGCCTTTCACATCATGCTGTTGAGGAAAACCCAGTGTTGTGCTTGGGAAAGTGCTGGGGATAGAGTGCACCCATCACGTTATAGGGTTAGGTCCCACTACCAAACTTCCATACAGTTATACACAATCAAATTTGCCATGTGGAAAACTGATTAAGTTACAAATTCTTTTCTCAATTAACCCTGGACTAATGCAATAACACCCTGCATAATCTTTCCTGTTAAGGACTAGATGCAACCCAACTGAGGAACACAGCAAACCAGCCAGAAAACCAGACTAAGGGTAGTTTTTAGCTACATGACAATTTGTGAACAGAACTTGGAGGAAAATAAAAATCCACTGTAATGGACTGAGTCATTACTGTTAACAGCAGCATAACTCTTCTGTAACAACAGTATCGTTGGTCTCAACTGGGGAAACACGGCAGGAGGTTCATGGAGTGCTCTTCCAGCATGCTGGGGAAATGATCCCTGGTGAATGCCCAAATGCATCTTCAAACATCAGAAATGCTGGTACTCAGATCATGTGAAGCATGAGTTACAAATATATTATGAAGATGTATATGCTTAAAGCTGCAGTTATATGAAGTATGTCATCTGTATAGCCCAGAGGAGAAGAATTAAATTGTGCAATCCTTGTTAGAAGCTGAATAGATGCACTGACACTTGGAGCTGAAAGGGATAAAATGCCACAGCAAGCAGTTGCAAGGGAAACAAGGTTTGGTCTTTCCTGGGCCATTAGTGTGCCCAGATTAACATTATGAATGGTAATATATGAACCTAATACTACAGGGGAAGCAGGAGTTCCGTCTTTCCACTTTAAAGGATTCTCATAGCTCTAAACCCTTCATGGCTTCAGCTGACAGAGACTCCTGGGTGGGAGAAGTGCTGTTTCATTTGTCCCATGGAATCCCATTCAGGTTCTGCTGTCATATGAATAGCTGATATGATACCTTTCACTCACATACATTCCCCAGGATATTGCAGCAGTCTGCCAACCTGCCTAAAGCACGTGGTGTGGAGACAGGTGTGGTGGCAGCTGCAGGCAGCACAGCTGCCCCATGACAGTCTAGGAGCTGCCAGATTACCTGTATGGGGTGCAGACCTCCTTGGGAACGGGCTGATATGAGGTACTTCAATGCCACTTACCAGCTCATGGGTACTTCAATGGCACTGACCAGACTTGATGGGTATGACTGAGAATCCTCAAAAAACCTAGCTGATGTCATTGTGAAGCCTCTGTCAATGTTTTTTGAATGGTCTTGGGGATCTGGAGAGGTCCCAGCTGACTGGAAGCTGGCTAACATTGTCCCAGTCTTCAAAATGGGCAAGAAGGATGACTGGCAGTGCCAGTCTCACTGTAGTGCCTGTAAAGGTGATGAAAAAGATTATTCTGAGATGTGTTGAAAAACACCTGAAAGACAGACAATAGAGTAATTGATCACAACCAGCACAGCTTCATGAGGGACAAATCCTGCTTGTCAAAGATGATTTTCCTTTTATGACAAAGTATCCCACTGTCATGGTTACAGCTAGAGTAGAGTGAATTTTCATCACAGTGGCTGGTATAGGTTATATTTTGGAATTTTGCTGAACAGGGAGTTGATAATATAGAGGTTTTTCTATTATTGCCAAGCAGGGCTTAAACAGAGCCTTTCTGCTGTTCATACTGTGACACTGGTGAGGAAGTTGGTGGGGCATGGGAAGGTGGGAGGAGGCACAGCCAGGACGGGTGACCCAAACTGACCAAAGGGTCAGACCCTATGACATCATCGTCAGCATATAAAATATGGGGAAGAAAGAAAACAGCTATGTCTGGAGTGATGGCCTTTATTTTCCCAAATAACAGTAATGCGTGATGGGGCCCTGCTCTCCTGGAGAAGGCTGAACACCTGCCTACCACTGTAAGAAGTGTAAGATTAATTCCTTATTTTGCTTTGTTTGTGTGTGTGGCTTTCGCTATTAAACCATCTTCATCTCAACTCATGCGTCTTGTGGCTTTTACACTTCCAATTTTCTCCCCCATCCCACAGACAGGGAGGGAGACAGTGGATGCATGGGGATTGGTTACTGCCTGGGGTGAGCCCATGACACTCGCTATTTGATAAAAGGAAGCTAGTTGATATAATCCTTTCGGATTTCAGTAAAGCTTTTGATAATATCACTCTCAGTATCCTTCTGGAGAAAATGTGCAGCACACAGCTGGATAAACACATCATGGGGTGGGTGAGCAACTGGCTCACAGGTCAGGCATGAAAGGTGATAGTGAATGGGGTGACATCAGACTGGTGACCTGTCACCAGTGGGGCTCCACAGGGCTCCATTCTTGACCCTGTGCTCTTCAGCATCTTCATAAATGCCTTGGACACAGGAGTGGAAGGGATAACAAGTAAGTTTGCAACTGGAAGAAGCTGTTGTCTCCTTTGATGGCAGAGAGACCTCAGCAAATCATAGGAGTGGGCAATCACCAACCACAAGAAGTTCAGCAAGGGAAAGTTGAACTTTCTCGTTCAACCCTGCTCGTGAGTGGAGCAACCCTGGATGGATGCACAGACAGACTGGGGAATGAGATGCTGGAGAGCAGTGCCATGGAAAGGGACCTGGGGTCCTGGTCAGTGGCAAGCTGAACATGAGCCAGCAGTGCCCTGGCAGCCAGGGGGGCCAAGAGTATCCTGGGGGGCATCAGGCCCAACATTGCCAAGCAGGCAAGGGAGGGGATTGTCCTGCTCTGCTCTGCTGTGCTCTGCTCTGCACTGGGGCAGCCTTACCTCGAGCACTGCGGGCAGGTTTGGGTGCCACAATATAAGAAAGATATAAAGCTTTTAAAGAGCAGCGACAGAAGGGAAACAAAGATGGTGAAGGTCCTTGAGAGGAAGCTGTAGGAGTGGCTGAGGTCACTTTGGCTGAGCTTCAACATAGTGAACAGGAGACTAAAGAGACACAGTCTGGAACTTCCCTGATAGGGGAAGTGGAGGGGAAGACACTGATCTCTTCTTTCTGGTGACCAGTGACAGGAGCAGAGAAAATGGCCTGAAGTTGTATCGGGGAAGGTTTAGATTGGATTTCAGGATAAGTTTCTTCACCCAGAGTGTAGTTCTGCAGTGGAACAGGCTCCCCTGGGAAGTGGTCACAGCACCAAGCTTGACAGAATTTAAGAAGCCTTTGGACAGTACTTTCAGGTATACGGTTTGGTTGTGGTTGTCCTGTGTAGGGCCAGAAGATAGACTTAGATGATTCTAGCAGGTCCATTCCAACTCGAATATTTTCCAATTTTGTGATTCTGTGATTTCACACATCACAATTTTCAAATGCTTAGCTGATCATGGTGTCTTTTGCAAGACTAAACTAGGAAAATTTCTAATTAATATGTGTATTTTAACACACCCATATTCAGGTACATATAGATGTAAATAGGATGGTCTTAGACAAATCTGCCATGCAAAGCAGTGGAAACAGATTATTCAGTTGACTGGAGCAGTTTATAAGGTAGCTTAACATCAATGAAGAGCAATGATATGATTTTATTACAGCATGAACACTGCATGATGGGGAGATGTATGGAAAGCAGCTGATTCACATAGGCCTAGTGCTGTAGTTTCTGATGAAGCAAAATTTTCACTAATGCTTCCATAACCAGAGGGAGGCATCAACCTATTACTACTTAGCATTAGCACAGCTTTCAGGAACAGGACTAGGCCATTAGACAGCACTTTTCATCCCATGAAATCCCATGCTGCTTTCCAAATTACATCAATTTGCAGGTAGATAGATAAAACTTTATCCATGACAAACCTGGTGAACTACAGGGTAAAATGCAGCCTGCGCACCAGTTTAGAAGGGCAGCACTTATCCTGGATCAAACTATTACCGTCTGCTGAGGATTGTGGAGTTTAGTAACTTATTTCTACAAAAAGTATAAGAGCAGAGCTCTAGGGAACATAGGCATCATCTGTTTTTATCCTAAGCCCAGACAAGGCATCACCACACAATGTTGTTCAACCATTTCTGCTCCAGATCAGTCGTAGGAGGTTGGGTTTTTCTCTAGGTTTTGTCATCCAGGTAGGAGAGATATGGTGTTTGTGAGGTCTGACATGATATCAACCCAAAGTGACTTTGCAGTGAAAGAGAATTCCTATGAAGACAGTCTATGTGCACTCAGGGCAAGATCATGATAAACTCTTGCAATTAACATTTTATATAGGAAAGAGTTTTAATAAAATCAAGAACAAAACCAGTGACATTAAGGAGATTTTTAATATGGGCAAGAATATCACCACTGGGCTTTAACATCATTTGTGTTAGATACAAAGAATTTAGTAAATGATAAACAGCAAACAAATCCTGGGATCATATTCACTGTAAGCTGCAAATATTAAATAAAGTCTTTACAAGCAGCAGTATCTTTCTGCCTAAGTTTGCTTATGGCACATATGATGGACTCTATTAATAAAACTCCAGTTCTGAGCTTGGGCTGGATATATTTCTGGGTTACTGAAAAACCTTAAACCTGGGTCCACTATGAAAATACTGAGAGGTACTTCACCATGGCAGCCTTGGCTGTTCAAAGTGAAATATGAAGTCACAAAGCATTACATTTTAAATGCTCCTACTGATAAATACAGGCCTACAGCATTTGGATACAGAAATGAATTTTTTGAATTTTCTCATTATCTATGGAGAGATTTCTGGTGTGACAAGGGTGATTATAGAAGGAATTAAAAATAAATAGCATTCAAGACCATGAAAAGAAAGGCTTGATGGCCATTAACTACTAATAAAAAAAGTTCTACAGGGGTGTGATATAGCCAACAACCTGTATTTTAACATACCAATAATGAATCCCAGCATAGCCATTCAAATAAAAGTCAGTATGCTTTCTTTGTCCCTATGGAAATTTAAATCAATATTACTGGTACTATCTTTACTATACCTATATGTATATGTATATCTATGAATAGATATTTCTCAATTACAAGATACCATTGCATTGTTTTACTTTCATTTAATTCAGTTTTGTAGCACAGTGACGTGCATCTCTATTTTCCAATCAATTTATTCTGTTAGTATTTCTCATAATATTAAATCCCTACATTAAGTCAATAATGTTGGTTACTTACCGTAAGCACTGTGAACGCCATTCTAATACAGGTTATTTGCAGTTTGGCATTCTCCTCTATATGCATTATTCCACTTGGAAAATTGAATGAAACACTTGATTCAGAATCTGAAACACTTAGAAGTAATGATCCTGTTTACTGATTTACTGAAGTTGTAGGTTCTAGAAGAACAAAAAGTACTATCAGGAGAAAAGGAAGCATCGACGTTGGTTTAAGAAGCATTCAAACTATATAATAATAGCAATTTGTTGTGATTTTTATTGTTTCAGATCTCTGAGGCAGTTACCTAACACTCTTAGCCTTATTAGTGCTTCAGTTTTCTTACAATTGAGAATATGAATCTAATAAACCCAATGTAAGAGAAAATGTAACACCTAAATTATCAGAAGCCCATTTCAGTACTATTTGCTTATTGTTGTGCAGCAGATAATGTCTATATTTTATTTAGAATTATTAAAATAAATTAGAAATGGAACTGAAAGTGCTTGACTCCTATATGAACCATATGCCCAAAGAAAGGTAAGACATTACTTAAAGCCTGTCACTGGTATTGGTACCTTTCATAACAGCAGCAGTGTGGTGACTGAGCACATGAGCATCTGAAAGAGAGTTTGACATGATGTCTGTGCCCAAACACGGCTCTGCTGAGAACCACTTCAAAGAGAGGATTGAACTCACAGTGACTGTACAGGTATGAGGATAGAACTACCTGGAGGCACTAATTTAGATCATGAATAAAAGGTTTAGTTCTAATTTTAGAGGTAGCACAAAATAGGTATTACATTGTGTTTTGGGTGACAGTGTGAAGTGAAGACAGGCTGTCAACAAAACAAAGTGAATTTTGCTGTTACTCAGTAAATGGTAATGAATAAAACCAAAACAAATGTGGATTTTGGTGGGCAGATGATTTGGGTTTTTTGTTTGTTTCCTGCTTCTACTAGAATTGAATTTGAAGTCTTGGTGAATGTGGTGCCTTTAAGTGATGCATCTCAATTCAGATGATATTATTTAAAATTCAAATTTATAAGCATAAATTAGGGAAAATTAATTCTCACATATCCACAATGTTTCAAAGATTTTCTCAGCCATTACTACACTGCAGATACTCAGTTTACTTCCTGATCTAAGCCTTTCACTTGAGATTTTAAACATACTATTTATCTCAGAAACATCATGAATTTAGGACTCATTAGCATAGAATTAGAATAAATCTGAGGAAAACAATTGAGAGAATTAGAAATATATTGTATACTAGCTTTATACAGTTTAATAAGCAGACGCTGAAAGCTCGTTTGATGCCATATTTTTATTCAGAATTATTTTAGGGATTATCTAAGTGCTGTACTGTGGATTATAGAAAAGAGTAATTTCAGTTTAATTTAGCCCTATGAACATGTGAAAGTGTTTCAGGCAGGTGAAATATACCAAGGGATGTCTTAAGCTACCACTCCAGGGACTATGAATAAAAAAGAAGTCAGTTGCCAAGTGGAGTTGGCATTTTACTAAGTCGGGATATAATTGTACTAGAAATCTTGAGGATACTTTGAAGCAGTCTTAAGAGAAGCTATAGCCTATTGGAATTCCTTCTTAGTGAAAATTTCACTGCAATTTATTTTAGCTCAAATATTCTTGTGACATAAGATTATAGTCTTGCTCTGGATATGTATATTCATATCACCAACTGAAACTGTTGCAAGCCAAGTATCCTTGCTTCTGTGTCAGCTGACTTACTGTCTGGTTCATGTCTTGCAATTGGAAAATAGTCATGAAAGCCGGACCAAGTTTTTTTGATGCACAGACACTAAGCTGTTGGTCCATTTGAGCTGTCTACCCATCTGCTCATCTGTTTTTGCTGTATTTGTTTGACTTTAGCAGCTCTGTTCTGTGGTTTCTCTCTCGTTTTCTGTACTCTGATCCTAACCCATGCAAAACAATCAGCCCCAGGACTTGCATTAGTGCTTCACAGAACATATTTATGCGCCAAGAACATATTTATGGGTACTGAGGAATACAGTAAGGTGCTGCCAGAGCATGCAGATTGTCTCTTCTCTCTCAGTTACCTTCCACAAAATAAGGAAAAAACATGGATCTTTTATTACTTTCCAGAAATAAACCCAGTGTGTACTATCACCCTTTTTTTTTTTTTTTTTTTCCCCCACAGTCTATTTCTGGCATCTTTCTCTTTTAAGTAGTCAGTAGATAACCCCACTCTTTATGAAGTTGCAGTCAAGGATCCCTTCCTAATGTTGAAGAGTCCGTCACTTAGCAATCATCGTACTTGAGGAGACTGATTTTCATTCTATCACCAACTTCTTTATTCTAAGACACACTATCTGAATCAGTTCTAGTGATCCTCTTTTAATGATTGTTGGTCTTTCAGTGCTTATCAGTGGCGTAAAACCAGATGCCATCAAATGACAATTTTTTGTCAGATGCATAACAGAAACTATCTAGGTTTACTGTTTATAAATGAAGTATTTGCTAAATTCCAGTATGCAACTATACACTCCACTTATTCCACATGCCTTAGAGAGATTGACACACTGAATTATGAAGTCAAACCTTAAAATAGAAGACGCCTATAAAGATTAAGTAATTTTCTTCTTTTTAAGCAATTAGTTGCACTACACTGCTAAGTGAGATCTGTCATAACTGAGGGATTGAGAGAGGGCAATAAACAAATTACTACTGTTTTCTCTGAAACCTCTTGGTCTACAGACTGACTGTAATTTAATACAGCAACTCAGTAGATTGTAAATTATCCATTAAACTTGTCACTACCCCCTTGAAAAGGATTTACTTTACAATAAGGGCACAAGAAGGGAAATCTGCCTAGTTGTTTCAGATGAAATTCAGGGACATTTGTAGCTGATTCATGATCATCACAGCTGTACTATCTATGTCTTGATGATGGTCGAGTGATTTAGAGGTTTTATTTGGCAAGCAACAACATTTAACTTTATTAGCTTAACTGTGTGGCACATGGTGTCCTCTCCATGTTTCAGTACCTATTGTGAAATTTTGTGAAATGTACAAAAATAGTGTTTTAAATGAAAGAAACTTTATTATTTGCCTATCCACTATCCCAGTGCATGAGCTACAAAATAGAGGAAATAATGTTTTAGTTCTGTTCTAAATTCTCTCACTCAATAATGAAAGATATTAAAGAGACTCTTTAGCTTTCAGTTTTTAAATTTTATTTGTATATCTAGACAGCTGATAGAACCCCAGATCCCAGTTTGCTAGGCATAAAGTAAGAACTATAGAGAAGTATAGAATTGCTGGCGAGATGAGCTTAAAGACAAAAAACTAAAAGACAAAGTAGCATATCATAAGTCACAAAGCTTTTGCACTAAATAAATAACGAGAAGCACTATAATGAGAAGCACTATAAACACTGCAATATTTTAAACACTGTATATATATTGCAGTTTTTCTGTTAAAGTTTCCAGAATGTCTCCAGCAAACATAATGCTAAACCCTCCCTCCCCTTAGAAAACCCCAACTTTCTTTCAATAAAGAGTAGAAATCTTACCTCGACTGTGGGTTTCCTCTGTGTTTGTGTATCCTTAAAGAAACCACTAAAAATAAAATAGAATTCCAAGTAACAAAAATGTTTAGTCTCCACAAACACTGCCACAATCCCCAGGAAGAAGTAGAATAAGGGGAAAAAATAAGAAGTAGAATAAGGGAAAAAAGAAATATGACATCAGAGGTTATAAAGGAAAGAAAAAAACCTGAAAATGCATTTACATAGTTAGTTTCTTTCTGGAGTCTGCCAAAATTTCTTCATTGCCAGAATTTATAGAGATCCAGAGTGACATAGTTATAAAAAGTGCTCCTACAGAAGAGAACTATAGTAATATGTTACCAGCATTTATTTTTCTGCTTTGTCTAAAACTCATAAAAATTACCTTGTCCTAGAAGTCATATGGCTGTTTGGATCATCATTAACTGACCCTTAAAATTCTAGATTTTAGTAAGCGTCACAGAGCATAGTCAATGAAATCACAGAAGCCGATGATGGACAGGTATCATGCATTGTTGTAACCAAAACCAGGAAAAGACCCATACAGTTTACAGAAGAAAAATATATGCCTTTCCTGATTTTGAGTTGTATCTGTCATCTATAATTTCCCTCCTAGTCTGGTAGACCACATACAGTAATAGATAAGCAAGAGTAAGAAAGAAAAAAAAAAATACATTTCAAAGTGTTCATTTTGTCTACTTTTCTCACTGTTTGCTTAATAACAGTTACAAAAAGTGACCAGGTTACAAAGACTTAGTGATGAAAAACTCAATGCTCCCTCTACTCCACTTCATCTACCCTCCAAAAATATAATGATATCTTCATGCTAAATCTAACTATTTTTAATAATAATAAAAACCTTGTGGCACTGCAATCTTTGTTCAATACAATATCAGTAGATAAAGGAAAGAATCCTGAGGCAATATTTTCACAAACATTAAAAACATATATGTGGGGCATGATATCCTATTAACAGACATATGCCTCCTCTGGAGATATTAATTCCTAATCTCATCAGGGAAATGTGTACTTGTGTACTCTGTGTGTTTGTGTTCATTGGTAGTGTTTTAAAAATTGTCTCTAGATGAGAGGTTATATACATCTGAAAAGTAACACTGCTTTTGGTATTAAACTTAACAAAAAAAAAAAAAACAACAAACCAAACTGGTTGCTCCAAAATTTAGTATATTTTCTATATCATGAAGTAGCAGCAATTTATGAGCAATGAGAAGCAGCATGACTTATAAAGTGTTGGGCCTAGTCTTGACCTCTATTCTAGTGAATCTCAAACTGAAGATAATGAGATTTTTCCAATTAACAAATTTAGCACTGTGAATGCTTACAGACTTGGTGAATATATTTTGATTAAAAACAGGTATTTGAGCATAAAATTTTTATTAATAAATATAAAGATCTTTGTTACTGTGTCTGGCAACTGGCAGTCTTTATTAAAGTTGATGCAAACTAGAAAACACAGTTCTACCTTCAAAAGCTGATTATTGTAAGATTTTTCCTCAATGAACACTTTAGTAGGTTTCCACAATGAGCTTAGCTTTACATTTATGCATTTCTAAATTATGCAGACAAATATAAGCAATTCTTGTGAGGTCTTTTTATTTCATTGGGTAAGAAAATTAAAACTAATAGGAATTTAAAATGAATCAGGAAATGTTCATATAAAAATTCTTTCACAGAGGGTTTATAACCATTTTTAATGAATGAATTACAGTGGAATGACTTGATCTTCATTTCCTTACAGATTTCTTTTAATTTTTGTTCATGAAAACTGGCACTTTGGTCTGATTCAGAATTTTGTAGTAAATTGCTAGAGTTCTTGACAATAAATTTTCCACTATGTGCACTCTTCACTGATTTTTGAGACACTTAAGGACAGTGAAAATTTGGAACTTTAGGATCTTTCATAACAGAATTTACTGAATGTGGGTATTTAAGAGCTGTGTCAGGAAAAAGACTTTTTGGTGATCTAAGCATTAACTGTCAGGGTAGAAATTGTTTGCTTTGTATGTTATGGCTGTGAATTCTAAAATGAGGAAATATATGTGCAAAGATAGAAGCCCTGATGATTTTATAAAATCCTGAAGAACTACTGAATACATTTGTATATCCACACAAGTAGTCCTTCGAGTTTTGTAAAGCAGCAGTTAATCCTATGAGGTGATAACACCTCTCAGATGCCTGAGGGTTTGTCAAATCCATGTGAGGAACTTGTAAATCATCAGTGAGGTGTTGTAGAGTTTGAAAATTTTGGCTAGACCTTAAACAAAATCTGGAGTTCCTGTGGCACCTGAAGGCTACCAGGACTTTTGAATTGTTCATAGCATTAATACTTCACCAATGTAGTTAGCCTTCTCAAAATTGCAAGGTGCTCTCTAATGACACACAGATGTTTGTAGAAGTGGGCTAGGATATGAAGAATCACCAAATTACAGAGTATCAGGCTGTTAAAGATGAAAAAGTTTTAAGAGTTTAATTATTGCAATTGTTATTCCAGTTCTCCAGACAAACTTAATTGTACACATTGGCAAACAAAATCTCTACAATTTTAAATTAATGGATACTCTGGAAATAAAATCTGCTCCTCTTAAGAAGTGAAGATAATGTGTTCTCAGGAGTAACTTGGTTGAAAATTAGTCCAGCTGTTGTTTATCAGTAATATAAACAACCTGGAAAAAAGTAGTGGTTTGCATCAGTGAATTGGTAAAAAAACATATTGGATATTTTGCTACATGAGGTCCTTTAAAAATTGCTCAATAATGTTTAAATTTTCAGCTAATATGAAGCCCTTTATAAGCTACTCAGTTTTGTTTCTGTGAACCAAAGTTCAAGCCTTTTCTTGGCCTTCATCCCTGCTAGTAGAAAACATGTATTTCAGTCAGTAAACAAGACATGAGAACAGGGAGAAAAAGCCATCACTTTCTGTACGTACACTATTGAGTGACTTAAAGGGGATGAGTCCTCACACAAGGATTCTCTCCTTCCATAACTGTTTCTGCTTCTGATATAATCTACTGTATCACCTTCAGATCTCTGGTAACTATTAAATTCCCTTTTCCAGTGTGCTGGTTTCAAACCATTACACACAGGCTCCAGGGAAAAAAAAAATCAATCAAATATTAGTTATGGTGTAATGTCCCCTCTTGAAGGTATCAGCATGTGATAAATAGAAACCTACCTTTTTGTTACTGAGCTGTTAAATATTTGACTTTCACTGGTAGGAAGGTAAAAAATGAGTGTACAGTAAAGTGCTGGCACAAATGGAAATTAAATTTAAATAAACACCTTTCAATCTCCTCAGGTGCTAGATCATGCTTAACATCAGCTATACTTTAAAGTACATCATATAAAAGGTACAGTTTTGGCTTTCATCCTTTTGTATGTCTCACCTTAGAACATCAGTTTAGGAAAAATAGGATGTTGAATGCTGTGTGTGAAGAGCAGAGCACTTCTTTGTAAACATCTGCCATTTCTTCTAATATGGGTGAATACATAATACTTCCAAGTACACAAATCACATTTTAGATTTAGATCTCATTTAGATAATAAATAAGAATGCAGAAAATGTTCCAGAGGGCAAGCAAACACTTCAAGCATAAAATTGAAAGAAATTTTGAGAACTGTTTCCTTGTTGGTTTCTTTAATGTGTTTTAAACCTGAGAGATGGTTATTGCAAAAAACAATGTTGTTCTCAGTCTGTATGTATGTAAAGCTGGAGACTGATGGAAACCAGAAGAAAGAACATGTTAAGATTAAATTCTCAAGCAAGTAGTGACAAACTCCTTGTCCTTGAAGCTTGTATAAATAACTTTCCTGTGTTTTTTTAACCTGTTTCCCCTGCTCTCCAGCCAGCCCAGCAGCGAGGCATGTCACTCTGATGGTTCACATTCATCTCCTTTTATTGATGTCCACTTTGGTATCTGTACAGGTCATCAATATTGCTGCCTCTCTGGCAGCCGCTGGGAATGGCAGGGCAGCCTTGCGGGACTTGGCATGTGGGGGGAGGCTCCGCTCGCTGCTGAACTCACGGTTCCAGCCAGATGCTGGTACCAGGCTGCCATAAATCATTTAGGTGACCCAGGTGAACTCTGAGGCTCAAAGCTCACTGAAAACTGATCAGGCCTCTGTTTAGTTTAACAGGCCCTTTTCAGTGACAAGTGAAGGGTTCAACAAATGCTCAAACCAGATATATATTAGTTGAAAAACTAATGGCTTTTAAAAGAATGTTTGACAATTGTTTAGGGCTGTCTGCAGATCCATTATACTGATAAATGACCAACTTGGTCTATGCCAAACTGGAAATGGCCAGCCAAAAGCAACTTTGGTTATCATTTTTTTTTCCTTCTCTGCCTCCCTGTGCACTCTTCACGTCTTTGGGGGCTTCGTAAGGGCCTCATGTGCTGTGATGGTCAGGAAGACTTAAGGCACCAAAGGATACCTGTGCGGCTTATAGTAAACCCTGTAATCAAACTGAAATTAAGCAAGACTGCAGATACCCCCAGTGACCTGCTATTCACCGCCTGAACTTCTAAGTTAGGGTCAGTTGGGGCCCAGAGTAGGAGGTCAAAAGCTGGTCAGTGCTCTTCAGCTTCAGCATGTTGAATAGAGAGACTTTATTGCCGTGATTTATGCAATTTGCACAGACAGGTTAAGGAGATCTTAAAACATACCACAGTGCTCACTTACATTGGTTACAGCATCCACTGGGAAAATAAATTCTGATTGTCTATATGAAATCTCTTGTAGATATGCCTTGAAGTATTTTACTCCCTGTACTATAAAGATTCATACCCATACCCGACCCCTGAACACGGCACATGGAAAGGTTAATGTTTTAGTGTTTCCAGATTTATTTAAACAGTGTGAACAGAACAAATGAAGCATTTTACAAAGCTGATTAATTGGAAAGGCAGAATAACAAAATAACAGGTAGTTTAGTTTTGGTTTTTCATTTTTGTTTTTTTTTGTTGTTTTTTGTTTGTTTGTTTTTTTTTTTTTTTTTTTTTGGCATGGAAAGCAGGAAAGGCACAGCTAAAC